ACGCTGGGCCGGCCCCACCAGGCAACTTAAGGTCCACTTCTCCCATCAGCTGAGCCAGCTCAGTTCCAGGTAAATCGATGAGCCTTGTGATATTGCTGACCACCAACTCAGTGAACACCTCAGGTCTCTCATGCCGGAGTTTCTCCACAAAAAAGTCAGGATTGAAGATAATAGGCTGACCTCGAAGGGAAGAGTCATTGCAGATAACAAAACTGCAGATGGCATCACTGAAAAAAATTGAAACAGAAGAATCTTTGGGGGGATCATTTTAATATGTGTTTCTCATGCCCTCTCACCCATACAATTATTTACTCTTTCTGTAGGTTAATCTACATATTTGTCTTTTCAAAAACCTAATCCTGAATCTACTGACTGCTGAAAAGAAAACAATTTGGGCTTGTTGCTGTTTAAGCTATACCCACCTAGATTCTTAGGAATTTAGTTTAGAGAAAAGACACCAGATAGCCTCTATGATATGATCTGAATTTGCCTCTTCATTCCAGGCATATACCATAGGAAGATGTAGATCTTTACAGCCTCCCAAATCTAATAGCATAATAGTATTGGTAGTCACATAGACCACATTTCCTTATTAAAAGTCTAACCTGGAATTACTACTGTTAAATGCTTATAAAACATCAGACCTGCAGCTGTTCCCCCTAACACAGCAATGCATAATCATCAAACTAAGGCTTTTTTGGAAATACAGCCAGTACTATACAGTACTTCCCATGCAGCGATCAACTGCTGATGGCACCACTTCAGGCTAGTCTCAAGTAGCACAGAAACCATGTGATAGTAAGCATGATACTATTTAAGAGCTAAATTAACTATATCTAAATAGTGTAATAGATATTTTGAAGTCAATTATCCATAGGGTTCTTTGGTTCCTGGATCCCTACACAGGCAGGTATTTCCTTATAATCAACTCCCTTTAATTGAGCCAGGCACCCTTGAATTCTGTTCCTCATAACCAAAAAGACTTCACTAGGATAAAATGCACTGGTACATGAAATAGATATTAATTAGGCCTTGCTCAGGTCCAGAAATGGGTTTTATTTTAAAATCCTTCAATTCTGGATGCCTTTGGCCCCTCATCTAAGTCCAAAGTCTCCTCTGACAGATTCTTCTAAGGCACTTGGAAAAATTCTGTAGTGTTTTGTTTCTAATTTCACTATTCTATCACTGAGTAATACTCAGCAGATATGTTCTGTTGGCTCCTGATCTTAGCTGGTTTTCCACTCCTACATTACTTAGGTTATACTTCTGGCAAAGCTCCTTTGATTCTCAGAAATATTTATTTCCTTATTCTTTGTTTCCAAACACCTAACTACTGTACTCTTTTTTACTTTTAATATGTTACGTATAAGAACTGTATTATTCCATCTGTTGGAGCAGACCCATCACTGCTTGTTTGTACCCATTACCAATTACCTCTAATGATTTGTTCTCATTCTTTTCATATAAACAGTTATCTATTATATAACCAATGAGTAGATATAACACAAGCCGGAAAGCGTAAGTCATCACATCTGTGAGTCAAAGTCAAAATTCCCTGACTCATACAAACATACTCTAAATAAAAATAATGACAACTTAAGTCTTCCACGACACTCTAGGTACCAAAGCACTGTTCCAGGAAAAATGACTCCTCTAAATATTAAATATAACTATTCTATAACACAGTTTGCAACACTTCATGGATAATTTTTAATAATGGTATAATGAAAATAAGGCATGGGTAAACTTAAAAATTCATCACTACTTCCTTGAAAAATTAGTACACAATTGAGATCAACAGCCCAAATCTTCAGTTGGTGGCTGCAAATTCCTTTTTTTCTCTAAAATGGTAATATAAGAATTCACACAAAAATTAAAAATTATAAATGTGTGTTCTCAAGCCAAAACTCATTAAAGAGAAATTAAAATGCTTGTCTCTTTGGCTTTTTTACATACTATGATAGGTTGTTTTTCTTGTATAAATTTAAAGATGCCAATGATAAGCCTATTAAAATCAAAAGCAACTTTATCCTAAATCGTTCACGAAGCCTCTTTTTTTTATGTCAGCTTATTTCAGTCAAAAAGTAAAAGTCAATATAAAAATATTGTTTATAATCGCTGCCAATGAGAAATTACTACTCTACACAGAGCCAGAAAATCATGAAATGTGTTAGCACTGAAGAGTCTTATCATTTATCAGATCTAAACTATCATTTTATGGATTCCACATCTCTTTTAATTCTGAAAAACAGATTTCAGATCAAATTAGTTTTAACATATAAATGTACATGAATACCATCCATTATATTCCTGAAGAAAAATACATATTCATATATAACCGCCAGACCTTTATTTTATTAATATCCAGAGCAAGGCTCAACTAAAATTCTAAAATTTACATCACAGTTGACCCTCCAGCATTAAACTGGACCAAATACACAAGTGAGAAAGGAGTTAGAAGTACAGAGCCCTAGCTACATCATTTCTCAAGAGAATCCTTTCTATCTGGCATCACCCCCAAGTCCTCTCCCTCCTAAATAGGTAAAATAGGTAGAAGAATAAATAAGTTCAAGGCTGCCCCTACCTAATCATAAGAAATACAAAAAAAAGATAACTTGGGGGTCCTAATACACAAGTAACAAACAATCTCAGTTTATTTTCCCCTTCTGCTTTTTCTCCCCTTCCTTCCAATAATCATTCACTGTTGTTTTACCTCACTTAAATTTCTTTTTTTTTTTTAACAGTAGGAAAGAAAAGTTTTATTAGAAGGGAAAGTACACTTCCAGATATGGAAGTGGGCCTGAGCAAGAGGAGCATGGCTCAAAAGGCCCCACTTAAATTTCTTTAACCTAGTTTTTTCCTCTTTCTCACTTTTTCTGAGTGGAGCATCTGGCAAGACGATGTAAGGGAGAAAAAGGGTTTAAAAAAAAAAGTAAAATGGAAGCTGAGAGATGGAAAAACAGATATAATGGGTTATGTTTTTAAATTATCCCCACATTACAAAGCCTGCTAATCCCTTTCCACAGAATATACAAAACCACAATATAAAGCTGAGAATATCAAGAATCATAGTTAAGAATTTAAGAGATTTCTACGACTAAAGAAAAAATTGCTATATTTAAGCAAAAACAACTTCCTACCCTACAATATCTTATTTTAAAGTAAACTCTAATAAGTTTGCTCAAGTTCAAGAAAAAAAATAAATTTCTTACATAAGTGCTGAAAGCTTCTGATGAGGCATTGGTAAATTGAAGAGACAGGAAAAAAGCTTTCTCCTTGTTTATTGTGACAAAGGAACCCTCCTTTCCCTTCCCCATCACAACCTACACAAATTCCAGGCATTTTAAAGAACACAAGGGCACGTTATGGGGCCTGAAAGGCGGTACTTATTAGCACTCATCTGCAAGTGGGAACAAAACATAAATTAAATTCTGGACTACTTAATTGTATTTGCCAACATACAGATGAAGCTCAACAGCAGTCTCCCATTACACAGAAAGTTGTATTAGATGAAACAATCACATAATATAACAGTATAAGGACAAGTAGTTTATAATATGGAGGGAAAGGTTATCCCTACCTCACATCATATACATACACCAAAAGTAAATTCCAGACAGAATAAAGATCTAAATATGGAAAGCCAAACTTTAAACGAGAGTGGAAGAGAAACTTTTCACTATGCTCTTGTACTTTCTATATTTTTGATTAATGTGAACATACTATCCAATCATAATAAATAAAGACTTTAAAAGTAATAATAAAAGCCAAACCAAAAAAAAAAAATCTATCATGCATATAAAAGGATTAGTACTTAGACTTTATCAGTATGCCTAAAATTTATAAGAAAAAGATACTGAACTCAATAGAAAATTAGTCAAAGGATCTGATTAAGTAATTCATAAAGGAAGGAACCTAAATGACTAATTAACATGAAAAGAATTTCAACTTTAGACACTATCATGGTAAAATCAATTGAAAAATGGTATCTTTCCCCATCCGTCATTTTGGCAAAGACTATCAGATTCAGACGTCTTTTTATTCCTAGTTCAATAAGTTATTTACTTATTCATAATCATGAGTCAGTGCTTAACTTTCACCAGTATTTTTTGCATCTATTGATCATATGATTTTTCTCCTTTATTTTGTTAATGTGGTAAATAATACTGATTACTTTTTAATATTAAACCGACCTTATATTTTTAGAACAAACCCAATGTTGTTATGATGTATTATCGTTTTTATATGTTTAATTTAATTTGCTAATAGTTTGTTTAGGTTTCTTCATATATATTCATAAGAGAGACTGTCATGGAATTGTCCTATCTTGTATTGCCTTCATTAGGTTTTGATCAAGGTTGTGTTGGCCTTATAAATTTGGGGAGTGTGTCTTATTTTTCTATTTTCCAAAAAAGTTTATGTGAGATTGTTGTTATTTCTTCCTTAAATGTTTAGTCAAATAGGCTGATGAAACCATGTGGACCTAGAGTTTTTTTTATGAGGTTTTAAGTTATATATTCAACTTACATTGTATTATAGAGCTATTCAAATTTTCTATTCCTTCTTGTATTAATTTTGGTAAGTTATACATTTCAATGAATTTGTCCATTTCATATATATGTTCAAATTTTA